CTGGCCTTCCTGGGCAATGCAACTGCGTGCATGTTCCATGCGGACATACATGGCAGCAAAACATATAAACCCATAAAACAAAATTAAAAAATTTAAAAACAAAAACGATAAAATGGAATGAATAAAACAAGGAGTTGCCTGAGATAAATGAGCAGGGCCTGAGGCCTGGCTGGAGTGGCAGAAAGACATTAGAAGTCTGGTCTGTTTGCATCCAAATCTGTGCTTTTTCTCCTCAGCTTCCAGAGTAAATGCAACCCCTCAGCCCAGCGCCTCCCTAGTCTTTAGCTTGCATTGTCCAGAATCTCTAAGAAAAGAACTTACCTTGGGCCACAGATGGGAAACTGAATGGCCAGTTGCCAAACAGCCTGGTTGAAAAATTACATGACTGATAGGGGTTAACTGGGGACACTGTTAGCCAGACATGGTCGCTGGCCTTAGAACTGGAACATGGCGGATGTGAAGGCTATGCCAGGTTCTTATGGAACCTGTCCTCCCCAGCATGGCCAGGTGGCTCAGGAGCGCACAGCGGCGTCTCTTGGCCCGCCAGTTCCTGGAGCTTCCAGCCATCTTAGCGCAGTCCCGTTGGGCTCTGGCACCAGCCAGTGGGACGCAATGGAGGACTGAGGAGACCTTATTCTCCTTGGATCCTGCCGTGAGAACGTGCTCACTGAGTTGGCTCTCCTGCTGGGGAACAAGAGAGGCAGACAGCCTTTGCTCTTATGTCCCATGCCCGCTGACTGGACACATGAGCCACTCTGGAGACATGGAGAGTCATTGGAGGTCCTCAGGCCCTGACCCCCAGAGAGCGAACTCAATGGTGGCTTGTTTCTAGCTGTGGGACTCTGGGCTGCTCTGTAAAGTGTTTTGAAGCAATAGAAATGGATACATTAGGGAGATATCACTGTTTCCGTTTATCTCAGGGAGGCGAGGGTGACAGAAAACCGGGGCAGGGAGGGAAGAGTCAAGGTTTTACAAGCCAGAGCAGGCTGGCAGAAAAGCGCGTGTGCTTCAGTAGTGTGTGAAGCCCACGGCCAGCGTGACAGGGTCGGGCCGTCCAAGAGAGTCCTCTGGCTTACCTGGCTCTGCTAGGCTCCAGCTGCTTGCAGGGTATCAGCTAATAGCCTGAGAGTAGAATAAAAACCCCACCTCATGCCCACAATGCCAATCCAGCAGGCCCACATGTTGGAAGTGTGTGAGGAGCTGTCTTGGGGTAGGAGTGGGACTGTGATGTGTAACCAGGGTGCAGGCAGGCCAGCCCTAGCCTGGTGGAGAAGCCGCCCGTCTGCGGTGGCTCGGCCTCACCTAGGAGGAGGACACCGGCCGATGGAGGGACGCGTCCTATGATGAGGTCAATAGCAGGCATCCCACGCTTCTGCTTCCGCCACCCAGCCCCAGACTCCATGTCTATTTGTTAGCACATTCTGAGGCTTGGATCTCCCCCAGACAAGAGGGCTGGAGGGAGCCTGGCCTGGTGGTGCCAGCTACTTAGGAAACTGAGGCAAGAGGATCACTAACTCGAGGCCAGCCTGAGCAACTCACCGAGGCCTTCTATCAAAGTTAGAAACAAAGACTTCCGGGAACGCAGCTCAGCGTAGAGAATTTGCACAACCCTCGGTGCCCAGGTCTGCAAAAACCAATGAAGAATAAGCCACCTGAACTGAAACCTCACAGCAGGACCCAGACCACAGGCTCCCTCCACTGTGGCCACCATGAAAATCTCTGCCTTTCACTAGTGTGTACGTGACGTGTGTATGGGGGTGGATGTGTGAAAATGTGGAGGGTGGAACAGGGAACCAGGTATCTTCTGTCAATATCTGTGTTTGTTATCCTACTTGAGGGTCACAACCTGCGCCCCCAAGTTAGGTCTGGCAGCCCCTCCTCAAGAAGCCAGCTGAAAGAAAGAAAGCGGAAAAAGAAGGTTTATTGAAGGTTGGGAAGAGGGGCAAAGAGACACACCAAGCCCCGTGTGCCCCAAGCCCAACCTCGTGGACTTGAAGTGAGATCAGAGTTTAGCTAGATGGCCAAGGACATGCTTATGTAAGTGCCCGCACCGAGGTGTGGTCTGCCCAGCACCGAGCCGCCGTCCTGTGGATGCCAGTCTCACTCTGTCGGGTGGTCTGATAAGCTGTTAAGAGCTTGTGGACTTTCCCTCCTGGAGGTGAGCGTCCCTCCAGCCGCTGTCTTTCCTGCCAGGCGGCCTTCGTTACTGCCTTGAGACACAGATCTTCAGGCTTGGAAAGCAGGCACTCTTCCGACCAGCCCAGCTCCCCAAACCCACTGCTCATTATTACGTGTCTGTCTGATTGGCCTTCTGAGGGCAGGTGGCCGAGCCTCGCTTATTAGGGCGATGATACCCAGGGCCTGGCTGTCACAAGCCTTCTCCAGCTCTGGGTCCTGGGGCCTCTGAAGTGGTCGGGGGCAGAGCTGTGCCCACGCTGCCTGCTCTGCCTCGTGGCTCAGAGGGCCAGCTGTCCCCCATGTGTGCTCCCGGAGCCACTGGAGCAGACAACCCTCCTTCAGCATCGTCTCTGGCTCGGGCATCTCTGATCGGAGCCAGCTGGTACAGCATCTCCTGCTTCTAGGCGCATCTGGCCCAGTTTTGACACCCAAAGAGGTGACTGCTGCCAGAGCAGTGGGGCCTGTTGCTGGGGGAGGGGAAAAGGCCACCTGCGATCTTTTTTTCACACTAGTGACAGACACTGGCTCCTAGAGACTGAGGGTTGGTTTGTCGGTTTCTCCTACAAAAGCTTGTCTTTCTCTGCTCTTCAGCATCGGGCAGAAATTTAGGAACAGGCTGTTTGAGGCCAGGAAAGTCAGCTTCCCACGCTGGGCGGGCTGACTTCTCCCTCTGAGAGCGGAGTCCTTGTATGTCTGGGACTTCCTTACTTAAGTGTGTTATTAGCCTAAGCAGCCCAAAAAGACAGGCTCAACTACCATCCTCAGTTGCCAATGACACAGGCAAGGCAGAGTGAAAGGCAGCTAAAGGAGATTTAATCCCGGTGGCCACACTGGAAGAGGAACAGATAAAGAGGCCCGGTGACCAAGCCTGTCTCTGGAATACTGGTGGGAGGGTTAGGTTGAAGTGGAGGATGGGAGCTAAGTGGCCCTGACTGGGGTGTGGTCCTGCTCATCTCTGACCATCCTTGTCTTGGCTCCAGTCTCTTTCGAGGTGGCCCAACAGTTTATCAGAACTGTGTGAAACCTCTCTTAGAGACAAGCTCCCCCTCTGCCTGGCACCAGGCTTTAGTCCTTTCCTCCCTCAGCGTCAGACTCTTGGGGAAATGCCAGTTCTCTGGCACCCAGCGTTTCAACAGCCTGACAGACAAAGGGGTGAGGGTGGGAGGCACAGTCTCTGTGGAGTATCCGAATTCCTGCCAGAACCGCTAAAAAACCCTGAGAACTGGGTCCCACCCTCTGGGAACTGCGGCGGGCAAGCACTCACAGACCCTTTCAGAGAACCCCTGGGGGCTGCAGGTGACTCTGCCCTGTCCCTCGAGCTGTTCATCTGCCGGCCAAGACCAGCCCCCCCCCCCATTCTGATGAGTCCTTTCTCAGCATACTGCTCCCATTGCTTGACTCATGCAGAGCTTTCTGGGTCTGGCAACCCGGCGACTGCCCTGGGGATGCTGTCCACTCAGCTTCACCCCACCCCCACCCCCAAGAGCCCAGCCAGGCCTAACTCTCACTCCGCCCCACTTCAGGCTGGCGGCCTGAGCCTCCAGGAGGAGGCAGATCAAGGTCCACCGAGGCCTAGACACGGCAGGCTGGGCTATGGGCGTTGGCCCCACCATAGAGAACAGCACGCCTTGCCCTTGACAGACGTCAGCCGCAGGGTCCCTGGGAAGTTCCAGTGTAAACAATGGAACGTTTTTCCGTTTAAACTGAACCGAAGCAGGGTCACGAGGGAGGCAGAGAAGGAGAGAAGGGCATTTTCCTCCTCCGTTATTACCTCCACCCCTCTAAGCAGCACCCCACTTCCTAACACCATCTTAGGACTGGTGCCTTGTCTCTGTGGCACACATCGCTCTGAGCACCCAGAGGAGCCCAGGCGCCTTCCTACTCCTGCTGTGGAGATGGAGATGCTCTCGCCGCCCCCCCCCCCCGTCCCTCCTGCCTCCCTGCTGTGGACATGGCCCAGTGAGCCTCCGCCACACCACACGGAGAAGGATGGGACCTCCCGAGACAGCCTTCAGCAGCAACCTTGAAAAGAGAGCTACCATGTGTGACAGCTTTCTAGTGCCTGGAGAGACCCCAGCCCCGGAGCACACATTCCAACGGACAAGCAGGCAAAGGGGCACTGTACCACACCCAGGGCAACCGTGCAGTGGAACATGACTTGTCGTTCTGACCCTAAAGCAGAGACTGCTGTCAGTTGGTCTGGGCTAAAATCCAAACCAGAACATTCAAAAATAGACAAAGCGTGAGTCACCAGTGATGTTTGGAGGCAGAGAGTTTGCCGAGAAGAAACCCAGCTGGCCGGTGACAGGGACCCGGCAGGCCCTGTCCAGCTGAGTCCTTAGCAGCAATCTGTGCTTCTCACTTGTGTTGGCTGCAAAGGCGGTTTTGCCACGGTGGTGCCGTGTGTTACTCTGAAGGCTGGATGTCACAGAGTCCCAAGGCGAGGAGGCCTCCAGGGAGCCTGATGTCAGGCTGCCTCAACACCAGGCCACACAGCCTGATGGGAACGCTGATGTGTGCCGGCTGTGTGGCTGCGTTTTAGTCACATTCATTCCTCTGGTTCTCACCCTGGCCCATGTCACAGAGCTGCTGCTTCCTATATAATACGGGTAAAGAAGCCTGGGGAAGGGGAGCTGAGACCCCAGGCAGCTTACCAAGGAACAGTGGAGACCAAAACCCTTCTATCAGCCATTGAGTAACACTTGTCACCCAATGACGGTACAACCCAGGCCAGAGCAGCGCTGCAAGCAGCATTGCGGAGTGACAGGAGCAGGGTCTCAAAGACCCGGGTCACTGATGTCAAGGGGCAGAGGAGGAAAATGTCCCAGAAGCACAGCCTACAGAGTCTAAGGATCACAGAATGCCAAATCAGCTCTACCGTCTCCACATAGAGGAAGCGGTCACGTGGTTCCCAGGGAGATGGACAGCTCGGCTTGCTTCCAGTGAGCCATGAAGGAGGGCCCTCCTCCCACCATCTCACAGGTGAGTGATGAGCAAGAAAGCCAGAGAGGAGTCAGAATACAGGGGCAGGAGCAGAGAGTTCAACCTCCCATGAGCCCCTCCAGTGTCTGTGGGTCAGGCGGGCTGCCCTCCACTCTGTCTGTGCCCCCCTTTTGCTCTCTGCTTTAGAGCACCAGCCTTTTCTGAGGAAAAGCCAGTGGGCCTCGGGGGTGAGACGTGGGGGGAACCCGCTATTTCTCTATAGAGTCCACGCTTGGGAAGCCAGGGTAGAACACAGCAACCACCGCAGGAAGCCTGCAGCCAAGGAGGCCTCCAGAGGGCAGACAACAGCAGGGCCCGAAGTGGCATAGAGAGGTACAGGAGGCCTGAGCTGGTGAGGGGCAGGCGGGACCCTGGAGGCGGAGGAGAGCGCTTTCTCACTCCATCTGAGGTGAGAGCTGGAGTTTGCATTGACAGTGACATCTGGCCAGGCGGTGGTGGCACATGCTTTTCACCTCAGCACTCGGGGATGCAGAGGCAGGTGGATCTCAAGGCCAGCCTGGTCTACAGAACGAGCTCCAGGACAGCCAGGGCTACACAGAGAAACCCTGTCTCAAGAAGAAAAAAAAAAGACATCTGAAAATTCTCCAAGTACGCTTGGCAATTTATCACCCTGCTTCAAAACAGGAGCAGACTAATTAACTAGGCTACATATTGAATTTCTTCCTCCTCAAAACAGCAACTCACCCCAACTGTACTCCCTCAGCAGCGAACGTCAAGGGATTTGACATTTGCTCTGGGACCACTGCACTACGAACCTGTCTTTGGGAAGTCTGTCTGTCACTCTTGTCACCCGAGAGCCCTATAATCCCTCTGAAAGGTCACAGTGACACACAGGGGCGCTTTTGCTTTCTCCATGCTAAAGGCATATTTCTTCTGCATATGTATGGTAGGAGGGAACGCGCCTCTGTACATTGTCAGCCGCTCAGCGTGTGCACAATGCTAACGGTTTGCATTGAGAGGAAGCAGGCTCACTGGCTGTGGGAAGGTGCAACCCAGCTGCCCAGAGACAATGGTTAGGACCAAGAGCAGCAGATACAGCAAGAAAAGCTTGCGCACATGTGCTCCGGAGCCATGGCTGGCCACCTGAAACCTAATACCTGGCGGCCTTTGATGCCCTCCCCCAAAGCCTGCGGGCTGGCCGTGAGCTGCAGAGACGTGTTTAGGTGTTGGCACACTGCCTTCTCAGGCCCCTGGCTCGCTGAACAAAACTCAGCTTCAAGATTGACTGCTGCCTCTGCCCACAGGCATTTGTGGTGACAGGCAGCACCAACTCTGGGGATCTGGCTACATCTCTGGGACAGTCATCTGTCTGCTGGGCAGGGGCACCTGGGCCGTCACCTCCATGGCTCCAGAATGGATGGCTGCTGCAGGATATTTGATCCCACTGTGAACTGAAAAAATGTGAATTGTAAAACCCGGTTTATTGTTCGGTGTGGTTGAGCCCTAGCACACACCTTTAACCCATGAACTTTCTGCTTATTGTAAACAGGTGATTATGGTGTTCTCCCAGCCCTAGCACACAACTTTAATCCTACAGCTTTCTGTACACAGGATTTAATAATGCTAACCCTAGGTCAAGAGTTGGAGCAAGAAACCAACTGACAGGGATTAAAGAGCAGGAGGGACTTTGAGAAGAGGTGCGTTTAAGACAGTGTGGAGAAGAAGGGGCTTTAGCTCTCTGGCTTTTGGGGCCTTTGGGATTTTGAGCTATTAAGCCTTTGCCCTTGGGTTTTTTGTTCTTTTCCTCTTCGGCTGTCAGCTGAGCTAGTGAGTATTCTGGGCTTTTCCCATCTAGGTGTGAGCTGAGTAGGAAGGTCAGCTGGGTGCTTTCTCTGCCTCTCTGAGCCAGCAGGTCCTGAGTCTTTATTAATAAATATAACAGTTGGGATTTTCATTTTTTTAAAAACAACATTTTGATTAAAGATGTGTTAGAGCTCAACCACACCAAACAAGAAACAGGGTTTTAGAGTTCACAATTCGATCAAATATCCAGCAACAGCGGGTACAGACTCTGGCCAGCTGCCTTCCACCGGTGTGTCTTCATCGCATGCTGTAGTGATGCTGTCTTCTCCAGGCATGGCACACTGTCACCACTGTGAAGCAAAAGACCATGGCCCACAGGAAACTAGAACGGAGTGGGAGCTTGATATGAGCTCACGACAAAGGGAAACTGAGCTTCCAGCTGCCACTCCCTCCTGACGCATGTGGTCTTGGGTGGCTCTGGGCTATACAGGAGGGAGAGGGGTGGAGCTCTGAGAAAAGGCACCATGTTGAGAGGGCCCTTCTAGCTGCAGGGTTCACTTGGTACTGGTCACCCATGAAAGCCACTGGCTCACTTAGCAGAGTGTCTTTCGTCTATCTGAGGTGAGCAGCTCTTTCTTTACATCTTCCTAGGAAATGCACCTTGGCATTAAACTGCCACAACCCTGATCATCTTCCTGAACAGGGGAAAATGAAACAAGACACAGCTCTCGTTTTTAAAATGGCTTTATTAAAGGCTAGTAGTATAAAATAGGACCAAATTACAAGCTGTCAGTAAGAATTTACCATTTCGAAAATATGTATCAAAGGAGAGGGAGGCGTGTGGAACGGAGGGCCACTCTTGAGGCTGGCGCGAGGGGTGCCCTGGCCAGGAGGCCGACTCTGCTGCTAACAGGAGCACGACCGGCCCAGAGGGCTGGGATTCAGGGACAACCCAGACGGGCAGAGCCTGGGTTCCTGAGAGCTTTTGTGGAGCGCAGCCACGTAGATCAAGACACGGAGCCCTAGAGCTGCCTCCCAGGTGCTGCAGTCTAAAACCAGACCCAGGCTTCAGCCAAAGAATGTGCCTTCAAGGAAAACAATGAATTACTTCATCAAGGTGCGTGGAGGAAGAGAAGGTGGCAGTACAGTTTCAGTTTCCTAGTCACTTCCACACAGGCCCTGGGGGAGACCAAGACGCCAGCCTGGTGTGGACTCTGCCCAGGTCGGGCGGGTCCTTTAGGGCCTCCTGGACTCTCCGACTTCTACCCTCTCTTC